ACATATAATTTTTTGTAATAAATACAGTGCAATAATAGTGGAATGCAAATATTAATATGTAATTGCGTTTGAAATTAAAGAAAATAATAAAACTTAATCCAACTGTTTAGTTGCATCCCAATATATGTCACAAACTAAAACTATCTTGAAAATATCTTTCAAGTAGACATTATCAAAAACTGTTTGCGGCCCTTTTTACAATTTCCAACATGCAATGCGGCTCTCGAAAACCCATGAGTTTGACACCACCCATCTATTCTAGAGCTAGACGATTAAAGCATTGCTTTGGGAAATAATATCACTTCAATTAAATTGAAAAAAATCTCGCTATATTAAATACAAAATCGTTGCTATCATAAAGGTAAACCAATTCAGCAACTCGGAATATATTGGCCTTCACAAAGCAATGGAGGCAAAATTCTATGAACTTTTGTTCTTTTCTTTGTCTTGAACTTTTCATACTCTACAGCCCCTATTAATTTTTTTTTAATTTTAATTACCATGTGATGGTCATACATATCTTTAACTTGTATTTTCTGTCATGGTGTATTATCTCAATGTGTCAAACTTTTAATTAGTGTGCATATTTTGCTTCCAGATGACATAAATGTATTGTCTTGTTTATTACCTCAGCTTGGAGTATTGACAAGAAAAAGGTGCCAGTAAATTACGTAAATTTTTTTTTAACTCTCTGTTATAATCAGAATTCACAATTAATAGGAACTGTAAACAGCCAACGTTCAATGAGAATTATATGCGAAATCCCTCAGAATAAATTTGTCTTCTAAAATCGGAGGAAGGCAAAACATATAGTTAGTTTCCATTCACACAAGTCTTTCAAGAAGACTTGTTCGAACCAAAATAAATGAGCATCGTCAGGTGATCGGTAAGGCTGCAAGGTAAATCAGCCCTGCAACCTTCTGCATAGAAGATAATATTAAATAGTGGGCTATGAGCGAAATTCCTAAGTTTAGACACATACCTATCTACGAGGCATTATGTACCGCAATGTTACCTATGATTAACTAAATATGTAATATGTCTCATAAATTCACCAACTAAAGCAAGTTCGATAGGTGCAAACTTTGTGTTATGGAATTGTATCGCCTTTAAGAGAAGTATAAACAGTTTTACTGTTTTGTATGACACCCTCTTTAAATGAAATTTCAATGTTTAAACGCAAACATTAAAATTACTAACTTTGAACTTTGTCATTATCTGCAAAATGTCCCACACAAATCTTCACGCTATCGCGTTTGTAATCTTCTATGATAAAAAAAAACATCTATGATGTCCAGAATTACTCTTTACAGCTTGTCTGCCATTCCAGCTTTCCAAGTGAGCAAAACTTCTTAGATATAGAGATTATTTTCTTTTGTTACAGGCGCAAAAAGGCTGGTACTACACGTAAAGAAGACGCCGAGTAGCAGAAGCGAGCGGAAAACGGCCGCGAAAGGCGACGAGAAATATGTGCATTGGAGCGTATCATGAAATACAATCTTTCGCACGTAGTCTTATGGAGTGACGTCAGAGTTGCCTATCATGTTGTTTAATGTCATTGCTCAGACAAACATTGCAATATTCAGGCTTGTGTAGGGCAATAGAGTGGTACCGGTACGTTTCTCGCTTTAAAGGCCTTCGAATGGCATTTCACTGATGATGGCGGTATTTTCGTGCTTCTAAAGTTATGAGATATTGTCAAGTGATCTATTATTAACGTTATTCCGCCTTCACATTGCCGTTACCGTACCTAACTTAGTTCCAAAAGCTTCATTAACATACAAAAATGGAATCACTCACAGATGACTTTTCTATGACTTGGTTCTCCAAGAACTTTTTTTTCCACCAGCTTTAGAAGGATATAAAAAAATTTTAATTGAAAGGTGATATTGAAACTTATATGGTTGAAGAATGTCAGAGGACTGTGAGACCTGTGCGAGTGTGACTACCGGTACCGTATCCCATGGTTCATAGACTAATAGATAGCGTCCAAACAGCAACACTTCCGACAACATTCAGACATTGCGTCCCCGAATCACCTCCCTGTATGAATCCACTTTTTAAACTGCACTTCCCGGCAACAAATTTCAAAGTATTTACTTTTCAGACAGTCAAACATGATTTCATACTATTATGGTTACCTGTAACTTGACGATCTTTACTAACCTGTTGAAAACCATGAAAAAAAAAATACAAAATCATCTCCATAACAGAAATCAAGTATGGCTCCATATACAGATATACCATGTTTCCCCAAAAATAAGACTGGGTCTCATTTCAATTTTCTTCCGAAAAATGACACTAGGGCTTATTTTCGGGGGATATCTTATATTTTTATTTATTAAAAACAAACTTAAAAAGTAGAGAATTACGAGATTTTCAAATATACAAACTATGAACCTATATATATATATTATAACCTATATATAAACCTCGGTTAAACGTGATTCAAGCGAATACTTTTCACTAATAAGGTTTGCCTGTACCTCCAAGATCATCACTAACCTGTTAAACACACAAAAAATAAGACTAATCCACACCTCATAACAGAATTTGAGTGTGGCTCCATATTACTGAACTGCTCAAGTCTGTGGCTCCATTATCTATCCTGTATTTCCAGACAATAAATTCTCGGTTAAATGTGATTCAAGCGTATTCTTTTCACTAATAAGGTTTGCCTGTACCTTCAAGATCATTACTAACCTGTTAAACACACAAAAAATAAGACTAATCCACACCTCATAACAGAATTTGAATGTGGCTACATATTACTGAACTGCTCAAGTCTGTGGCTCCATTTTCTATCCTGTATTTCCAGGCAATAAATTCTCGGTAAAATGCGATTCAAGCATATTCTTTTCACTAATAAGGTTTGTCTGTACCTTCAAGATCATCACTAACCTGTTAAGCACACAAAAAATAAGACTAATCCACTTCTCAAAACGAATTTGAGTGTGGCTCCATATTACTGAACTGCTCTAGTCTGTGGCTCCATTTTCTATCCTGTATTTCCAGGCAATAAATTCTCGGTTAAATGTGATTCAAGCGTATTCTTTTCACTAATAAGGTTTGCCTGTACCTTCAAGATCATTACTAACCTGTTAAACACACAAAAAATAAGACTAATCCACTTCTCAAAACGAATTTGAGTGTGGCTCCATATTACTGAACTGCTCTAGTCTGTGGCTCCATTTTCTATCCTGTATTTCCAGGCAATAAATTCTCGGCTAAATGTGATTCAAGCGTATTCTTTTCACTAATTAGGTTTGCCTGTACCTTCAAGATCATCACTAACCTGTTAAGCACACAAAAAATAAGACTATTCCACTTCTCAAAATGAATTTGAGTGTGGCTCCATATTACTGAACTGCTCTAGTCTGTGGCTCCATTTTCTATCCTGTATTTCCAGGAAATAAATTCTCAGTTAAATGTGATTCAAGCGTATTCTTTTCACTAATAAGGTTTGCCTGTACCTTCAAGATCATTACTAACCTGTTAAACACACAAAAAATAAGACTAATCCACTTCTCAAAACGAATTTGAGTGTGGCTCTATATTACTGAACTGCTCTAGTCTGTGGCTCCATTTTCTATCCTGTATTTCCAGGCAATAAATTCTCGGTTAAATGTGATTCAAGCGTATTCTTTTCACTAATTAGGTTTGCCTGTACCTTCAAGATCGTCACTAACCTGTTAAACACACAAAGAATAAGACTAATCCACTTCTCAAAACGAATTTGAGTGTGGCTTCATAATACTGAACTGCTCAAGTCTGTGGCTCCATTTTCTATCCAGTATTTCCAGGCAATAAATTCTCAGTTAAATGTGATTCAAGCGTATTCTTTTCATTAATAAGGTTTGCCTGTACCTTCAAGATCATTACTAACCTGTTAAACACACAAAAAATAAGACTAATCCACTTCTCAAAACGAATTTGAGTGTGGCTCTATATTACTGAACTGCTCTAGTCTGTGGCTCCATTTTCTATCCTGTATTTCCAGGCAATAAATTCTCGGTTAAATGTGATTCAAGCGTTTTGCCTGTACCTTCAAGATCGTCACTAACCTGTTAAACACACAAAGAATAAGACTAATCCACTTCTCAAAACGAATTTGAGTGTGGCTCCATAATACTGAACTGCTCAAGTCTGTGGCTCCATTTTCTATCCAGTATTTCCAGGCAATAAATTCTCGGATAAATGTGATTCAAGTGTATTATTTTCACTAATAAGGTTTGTCTGTACCTTCAAGATCATTACTAACCCGTTGAACACACAAAAAATAGAACTAATCCACTTTTCATACCAGAATTTGAGTGTGGCTCCGTATTACTGCATAGCACCATGGCCTGGCCCCGATTTCTCCGTGGCCCGGCCTCAATTTCTCTGTGGCCCGGCTCCAATTTCTCCGTGGCCTGGCCCCAATTTCTCCGTGGCCTGGCCCCATTTCAGTGGCCTGGCCCCAAAGCCACAAAAAAGTGACCACTCCCTCTCCGGTACCAGTACCTTTAATTGCATCAGTACCACCCTTGATTGCATCAGTACCGGGACCGGTATGACTGTCTACTATTTTTTGGTTCGAAATAGCAGTTGGTTGACCTGTACGGTACCTTAACTGAGAGTTTATTTCATTTTGTCAAACCAAGAAAACAATTTATGCACACATAAACAAATATCAAAAAAATAGTTTTCGGTATCTGACTGTAAGGTGCCTGCAACGGGTACATCCTTTTAGTATAGATTGCGTGAACGTGATTTGCAACAAGTAACATACAGTATTACAGCTTTCTAATTCTCGCAGCCCTATAGAGAAAACAAAAAGGGACAAAGATCTGCCTAAGCCGCCAGCAGCCTGCGCGGAACGCGTCCAAAGTTGTCTGAGCGACTTTTCAGCGGAGAATGTTTGTTTACATCTGCTCGCTTGTGATTGGTTGAGAATACGGATGTTTTGATGTCGGGTAAAGGTCCATAGGGAGAATTTTCCGGGGGTCAAAGGTCGGGGAGAGGTCCATATAAAGCTCACTTGCCTCACAATGATGAAAGCGCTTGATTTAAACTATCTGCATGAGCGATTTTCGGAGTTCCGCGCACATCTTTGAAAACTGATGAATTGGCAAGTGGGCTCAACTTCTATGGACATGTTATATCGGAATGTATTAACTTATTGAAATCGTGTTAATGGTATGAATTTGTATTTAGTTTTATATTTACCATACTATTCCAACTTGTTTGGCATTGGAATTTATTTGACAAGTGTTTATTTTTGAACCAAGCCTTGTTTAACAAGATTTGTATTTTTTGTTGTGAATGCGTGTTAGTGAGCGGGCACATGATACTCATCATGTTTTAAACTTTTTTATAGGTTTTGCTCGCTCTCCAGAATTCTCCATTTTTAATTTTTTAGAGATTCACTCTAAAATATAGATTCGCTTCTCTCATAAGTCATAATTGAATTGAAAATTTGATTTTAAGAGTTTGGTAATGTATATAGACTACCATTGCTTCTTCAATTAGAATATTTTTTACCTACAGATGATGCAACCTTAGCAAAGTTGACACACTGCAGATACTACTATTCCTGCCAGTAACTTCTTTGCTGCTGGCTGTGGAAATGATGCAATGTTGAGCCTTCCGCTATGCCAAGCCTCAGCAAATGTGGATTTGAAAAACATCTTCCAGGTTATATTCCTTTTTTGTGGTATTTTTATCAAGTGTTTCATGAAATCAATATATTGTGTCATCAGTTACCGTACCCTAATTTTTAACCAGTAACTTACAACACCAGCATTTGCCTTAAACACGTTTTCACACAAGATTCAAACTTGGCACACCTTGCTAACCTGTATTTATTGTATTGTTTTAGATAATTTCTTTTGAAGATGACAGTTTGGAAATTTTGTTCAGAGACCAATCAGTTCTTCAGCTATCACCATGCGGAGCCAACTTTAGATACACACGTCCTCATGGACAAAACCAACCAAGTTTAGCTCAAAATCTGAATGAAGTATGCCAGAGATGTATATTTGCAACAAGCGAAACACGATCAAAAGTTATTCAAGCGATTTCGATTCGTAATCAACTTAGTTCTTGTCCTTATTTGCCCTCAGACTTACTTGAACATATGGGTGTAGACTCTTTTCGTTTTCATCGAAAAATTGGAACATATGAATGGCCACAAGTTTTGAGCTTCAATACAGAAGATACAAAAGCAATAAACAAGCAGGTTGTTTTCAACAATGATGGGTCAATTACAGTAAAGAGTGTGGATAATTTTGCACAACTCGACTTATTTCCTGATGGCCATCGCATCAGAATATCGTTTGTTGTTCCATTGTCAGAGAATGACAAGGTTAACCATAAATTTGAATCACAACAAGATATAGAAAGTTCTCAGAGCAGCTCTCAAAATATATATGTCTGGCAAACTCGTATATTTCCTGTATTTAACTGTCCTACAGAATGGCAGTACCCTCTAGAACTGGCTCTCCATGCTAAGTATGGAACCAGGCATGAAAAATGGAAATCAAGGGATAACAGAAGCTTAGCTGTTGCTTCTGTATCTAGGATATGTGAAGGGCAATTCAGGCACAAATGGAGAAATGTAATATCATGTTCATCAAAAGATATCCAACCTATGAACAAGGATAATGGCAATGAAATAAGTTTATATGAAACTCATTTTTCATCTGGGAATTCTGTCATTAAATTTATGTGGTGTGAAAATGCTTCATATTGGATGTCCTCTAAATTGAATGATCAGCAATCAAAAGTTGAAGTATGGTTTGCCAATGGTGATGTCTTCAAATCTCATCCTTTAAACGATAGGTACTTTATTCATGTATATCCATCTCTTCATAATAGCAGTTCATGTTCGAAGGAATATTTATATACCAATGGGAAGTTCGTGGAAAAAATAATATCATCTGCCTCAGTCCCTGCACAGAATTCAATTTTGAAAAGTATTATGCTCCGTTGTATAAGAATGCTCTTAAACAGACAGCAAGAAGTTGCAAATTTTGCAGGAATGGATAATGATACACCTTGTTGGAATTCAAACAAACATGAAGAACTGAGACATGCATCGTTTTCATTGGACGATGTTGAAAAAGTCAGCATTAATGAAAAAGTACATATTACAGGAGTTGGAAAATTCTCTGTTGCTGATGACAGCATTCAAATAGCATTTGATGATGGCTCAGTTTTACATATGACCATCGATATTGGACAATTAAGAAAATCTGGGCAACATTATGCCAACCTTTTTATTCCTGGCCAATGCAGAATTATGTTGGCAACAGGAAAATATTTTGTGATTGAAAAGTTGGATAAGCCACAGGAAGAAGTGGAAGAGTACATGAAACATGCTGCTGCATGGTTGGAATGGTTGTCAAAGCCAGTTCAAGAAAGAACAGAAGCTTCATTTTATTCTGATACAATTTACAATATAGAAAATGTGGACATGGTGTCTCAAGAACTTGCAAAGATCAACAGATTAACACTTACAAGTACACCTCAATATTTAGAATTATCAGAAAATCATTCAGTTGAAAAGAAAGGGAAATTCACTGAATGCTCAAATTTTCAAGATGTTTCCAGGGCGTTGTCACATACAAGTAAAGCAATTACTGATTTGGAGAATATAATAGGTTCATTCAGAAAAAGTAGTTAGCTCAGTCGTCACTCTCGCATGTTCAATGCTTTTGGTTGTTTGAATTGAAAACACTTCACGAAACAGATTGTACATTGATAATGTAAACCAGGGGTTCTCAACCTTTTTTCTGTCAAGTACCCCCCGAGTCACGGAACAATCAATGCGAGCCCCCAGGAATCAGACACCGAACAAAGTTGTGATATGTTGACAATTTGTTGCAACACCAATTTATTGACCTTATGTAACTAAATTAAATCGTCTTGTTGATAGTATTGCCCTTGTCATCTGCCTAACTTATGAATTTATAAAATCTGTTGCAAGTTTCAATAAGCATAATCACTTCTCCAATGCTCGCAGCACGCTGTCTTTGGAGATTTCACAGTTTGCATGCAAAACCTTGAGTTTCACATTGTTGCGCCACAATCACAACAACGCAACATCAAGGAAAATCTACTCTTCAATTGGCATGCATTTTCCTATGGTAGTAATAAAGAATATTAAAAAAGATCGCCACACAAAAACTTGACTGCCATCCAAGTACCCCTGGGAATCTTCTCAAATGGCTCTCATTTTGATGCCATGATTTGAAAACAAATTGTATTTATTGAACTTAATTCTATAATGTATATTTTAAAGATGTGTAATAGGCAGTTTTCTGTCATTGATGAGTGCATTGGCATATCAATGGCCATACTTGTGCATGTTGTTGTGTATATTCTGATATAAAATGATTATGAATCCGAAGGCGATTTGTTTGAACGAAAAATTAGAGCGATAGATGACTTCAAATCTCAGGGCTATAAGTTTATTTCGACTCCCATAATCAGCATACATATGATAAAATGATGATAGAAACAAATCAAAAAGCCTTCGAAACCTTCAAAAAGTGGATTTTATTTTAAAACGCACAGAATTTAAATTGAAATGTTGCCAAAAGTAGTGGTACGTGATTACTCACTTATGAATAATAAATAAATTTACCCACTTGCACACGCGTACTACCACTCAGTTATAATGAAATGAAGAAAAAAAAACGTTATTTGCTACACTATATTAGTAAGTTTGTTAGAATCGCCAATTGAATTCGTCACTGAGTGTAAGTTAAAATATATCGTCAAGTTGATTTTAGTTGGAGTCAATTGTCACAAACATCCTGTCATGCAGGGATAAAGATTTGACGTTCTTGAAAGCACAAGTCATTTATTTCCTGGGTGTGACAGAGATTCAGTTGCGATTGATTCCTCATATTTCCAAGTCAAAGCAGAAATGACAGCCAATGCTTCCCGAAAAAACAACCAACACCAATCGTTCGCGGTAAAATTTCATTTTACCGTCATAATCTTCAAGTTTCCGATCTTTTTCATTTGATCAGCAAAGCGCTTAACTAGGTTCGCGAGCCGAAGTAGCTTTTTAAACGCTCCTCTTTATGATATATATATATAATATATATCCTGGCTATGCCGAGCGTTAGGTTGGAAAATGGCCTTTTTCGTTGGGAAATCGCAAATTCTAGAACGGCCATGGCCATCATAGTACGGGCGCAATGTTGCTATTTTAGTCTCAGCATAACGGACATCCCTATCTTAGTAGGAAGATGCTCATTTTATAGGATTTACATGTTTATACCGAGGGGGAGGAGAGCCGATAAAACGGCTTAATCATATCACGCCACGACAAACCACGGCCTCTCGTCCGGCTACCATTTCATGTCGGGTATGGGATTAGTGTTGTTGGTTATTTGCTTTCGGAAGCATGGACTTGATGGTGAAGAAAGACGTAACCGACCGGCGGTCACGTGAACCAACCTACGGCGGAGAGGATCCCAACAATCCTCTCGCACATAACCATCCCCGCATGGGTTTCGAACTGACGCAGAGTAATCAGAGGAGCGGTGGCGAGCGTATTCCTTACTGCTTAGCACGATGAGCCACACCGCCGCGCCTATGGACCTTTCCCCGAGCATCGACTTCCTTGTATACTTCGTGACATTGGCCAATCAGCAAAAAGTGACGTAACAATGCCCCCTTTTCGCATCCGCTGAGACACTTTTTTCACTCAGACAGATTTTCAAGCGTGGTTGTAAACATTACCTCGTTTTCGCTTTTCTGAACTCTATTCGTTAGTTTTCAGTTGTGTTTTGGAAACTTAAAATATAAATCAGATATTTAAATGATCACTCTGTCTTCCTAGGAGTATTAATTTAATCGATTTAATTGCAGTACTCAAAATTAGTGTAGAAATAGCTGTGATAGACTAGCCTGAAATTCTTTACCGGTACCTTTAAAAACAGATCGTTGTATGGAATAAATCATAATGATGGTTTGAAACATATACCCCGTTTTACAGACGCCAACTTGCAAAAGCCTTCTTAAACTAGCCTCGGAAATTTTGCAATGGTAAAGTCTCGGAAGATTTTTCTGGGGGTTAAAGGTCGGGGAAAGGTCCATAAGTTAAGTGAATACTACACCCAGTGTATAAATTGAAATAAAAAAACATATGGCACTTTTATTTAAGAAATGTCGATATAAAATTTCCATCCGGATAGGGAAGTTACGAAGCGAAGTTCCTGTCTTTCTTTCTAGTTGCCATATGCATGCATTTTATTGTATCGGTCTTCTCAAAATCTATAGAAGATGCTGGCAGAATGACTGGCTACATAAGTCACGGACCTTGTTTAATGTCCTTATTTACGATGTACTCGGTATGTTAGTCGTTGGCTGTACTACAAAAAAGCGAATATGATCCCTTTTTGACTACAACCAAATTGTGACACATGTCTGTAACTGCCAGGGGAAAAAGTTTCATGCGTCTAGGACCTAGGTTTAAGATGAAAAATGAAAGTAATGCCGTATCCTTTGTGATTTCTTCCATCTTTGAGTACTCGAAATTTAAAGTTATTTGATGAAAAAGTTTATCAGTTTATTTAACCGATCTCCCGGGATTTGGCACCGGGGTCAAATGGCTAAATTGGCATAAGAAGTGCAAAGCCGCAAGCTGATTGGATTTTTCCATATTCTCTGTCTAATTTTTGTATTGTATTTTTCATGCTAACAAAAAAAAAAAAACTGATTACCTGTAAATTAAAATTATATTCAACTAACTGCTGAGTGGATTACATGTGGATTAACTCAACTTTTTTGGACATATATTGGAATATATTGAATTAATGACATCATGGTAATGTAATGGAATGAATTTTGTCTTTATTTTGATTTTTACTATTCATATGTATTGGGGGGAATGGAATTAAATTAAAAAACGATGAACAAAAACATGGAAACAAAAAACTATCTAGCCTAGTTATATATTTATAATAAAATGATTTGATACCAAAATATCAATACGAAAATTCCGTTTGGCATTGAAATTTATTTGGCACAAAAAAAAAAGGTATTGGACTTTTTATTGTTGTTTCGATTCATGCATACGTCATACTCATACATATTAGATAAGATAAGATTTACATATTTGTCTGTATATGGGACCATATTATATGTATTCGATTTATTTCTATTTAAAACTTTTCAAAGGGGGTGCATGCCGCACGCTTGTGTTTTAGGCCAGTATGGTCTTGTGCTAAATCCCGTCTTCAGTAATGATAATCTATCTACGCTTTTGTTGCTTTTTTACGAGACAAATAAACATACATACATACATTTATCACGGGGTATAGACTACAAAACATTGGAATTGACCATCGACTGCAAAAAATGATTGTGAAGTGCTAGGGTGCAGGAGTTGCCAAGAGTTTGGTGAATGTGGAAAAATATCAAAACTGCAAACGTCAATACTAAAAGTATGTAACTTTTATGTATCGTAACTTGTTTGATACAAACAATGATACCGGTACCCCAACTAGTCTGCTCGTCCAGCCAACTAAGGTTTCATTGAATAGCGATTTTACAGTGAGTATAAGGATAAGATAAGGATAAAAGTTCTTTAACCCCGTGATCGCAAGTACTTTAACCCCTTGATTGCAGACCAAAGTTACCCTAGCAGACATCTCTCAGCAGACATCTCTCTCGTTTTTGAACGCGCCGATCACCGTTGCCAGAACTCAGATTTCAATTGAGCGATGCGAGAGTTTACGAAAAAGGCATCGATGCAAAATCAGCTGATGCTTTATAAGTTGCCAGATTAATCATAGAAACTGTAAATAATTGTCACAAATCACAGTTCTCCCCCAAATATAAGCGTCTCACAAATGAATCAGCTTAGTATAAGAAAGATAAGTATAAGTGCTTATAATAGGAAGTAAACACAACGAGTTTAACAAATATTGTATAGGTGGAAGAGATACCCATTATCGTTTAAACCTGTCCCAGTCGTCAATTTTTAATAAAATTGGTAAGAAGACCTATTTTGCCCCCAAAAAGATGTGTCTTACAATCATTGTCCTCTTCATTTATACATAAACAGCAGTGGTACATTTACTAAAGTGTTTACACAACGAGTTTCAAAAAGATTGTATGGGGGAAGATATTTTTATAATCGCTTAAATATGGTCCGATAGTCAATTTTTGATAAAAAAGGGCAAAAAGACTTAGTTTTCCCCAAAAAATGAGTGTCTTGCAGTTATGGGCCCCACATATACAAAACACCAGTAGTAGCACATATAATAAAGTGTTAATACAGCGAGTTTGAAAAAGTTTGTATGGGGGGAAGATATTTTTATAATGGCCCAAACATGGCCCGATAATCAATTTTTGATAGAAATGGCAAAAAGACCTATTTTGCCCCAAAAAATGAGTGTCTTGCAGTTATGGGCCCCACATTACAAAACACCAGTAGTAGTACATATAGTAAAGTTGTTAATACAGCGAGTTTGGAAAAAGTTTGTATGGGGAAGATATTTTTATTATCGCATAAACATGGTCCGATAGTCAATTTATTAAAAAAATGGCAAAAAGACCTCTTTTGCCCCAAAAATGAGTGTCTTGCAGTTATGGGCCCCACATTTACAAAACACCAGTAGTAGTACATATAATAAAGTGTTAATACAGCGAGTTTGAAAAAGTTTGTATGGGGGGATATTTTTATATCGCATAAACATGGCCCGATAGTCAATTTTGATAAAAATGGCAAAAAGACCTAGTTTTCCCCAAAAATGAGTGTCTTGCAGTTATGGGCCCATTTACACAAGACCAGTAGTAGTACATATAATAAAGTGTTAATACAGCGAGTTTGAAAAAGTTTGTATGGGGGGAAGATATTTTTATTATCGCATAAACATGGCCCGATAGTCAATTTTGATAGAAAAATGGCAAAAAGACCTATTTTGCCCAAAAAATGAGTGTCTTGCAGTTATGGGCCCCACATTTACACAACAGCAGTAGTACATATAATAAAGTGTTAATACAGCGAGTTTGAAAAAGTTTGTATGGGGGGAAGATATTTTTATTATCGCATAAACATGGCCCGATAGTCAATTTATAGAAAAATGGCAAAAAGACCTCTTTTGCCCCAAAAATGAGTGTCTTGCAGTTATGGGCCCCACATTTACAAAACACCAGTAGTAGTACATATAATAAAGTGTTAATACAGCGAGTTTGAAAAAGTTTGTATGGGGGGAAGATATTTTTATTATCGCATAAACATGGCCCGATAGTCAATTTATAGAAAAATGGCAAAAAGACCTCTTTTGCCCCAAAAATGAGTGTCTTGCAGTTATGGGCCCCACATTTACAAAACACCAGTAGTAGTACATATAATAAAGTGTTAATACAGCGAGTTTGAAAAAGTTTGTATGGGGGAAGATATTTTTATTATCGCTTAAACATGGCCCGATAGTCAATTTTTGATAAAAATGGCAAAAAGACCTAGTTTTCCCCAAAAATGAGTGTCTTGCAATTACGGGCCCCATTTACACAAGACCAGTAGTAGTACATATAATAAAGTGTTAATACAGCGAGTTTGAAAAAGTTTGTATGGGGGGAAGATATTTTTATCGCAAACATGGCCCGATAGTCAATTTTTGATAGAAAATGGCAAAAAGACCTTTTTGCCCCAAAAATGAGTGTCTTGCAGTTATGGGCCCCACATTTACACAGACCAGCAGTAGTACATATAATAAAGTGTTTACAGCGAGTTTGAAAAAGTTTGTATGGGGGGAAGATATTTTTATTATCGCATAAACATGGCCCGATAGTCAATTTATAAGAAAAATGGCAAAAAGACCTCTTTTGCCCC